AATCAATGATTCATTGACAATTATCGTGTTAGTATTAAAAGAAGTACTCAAAATTTTCTTAAAAAAATCCAAAAAGTTCTAAATTTTTTTTTTAATTTCAACACATCCGAAATATTTTAACAATTACAAAAATTTAAAAATATATGAAAGAATTTTAAAATAATAAAAAATCCAAAATCCAAAAAAATAAAAAAATCAAATGAAAAATAAAAAATTGAAAAGTTAACAAAAATGAAAATTTCAATAAAAAAAATTTTCTAAAAATTCATAAAAATTAAAGAAAATTAAAAAATATGAAATAAAAAATCTAAAATCTAAAATCTTTTTGAAAATTTTGACTATATGAAAAAAATCTATACAATTTTTAAAAATTTTCGAAAAAATTAAACAATAAAAAATTTGAAAATTTTAATAAAAATCCTAGAATTTCTAAAATTTCAAAAAAATAAAAAAAAAATTTGATTTTTTTTATATTTCTTAAATTTTTCAATTTTTATAATTTTTTAAAAATATCTATGATTTTTGGAATTTTTTAAATTTTAAAAATTTTAATTTTTTTTAAATATTTAGATTTTTTTAAAAAAATAAATTTCTTTAAATTTATATACTTGCTAAATTTTTTGTGAATTTTTTTAGCTTGAGAGATTTTTACTTTTTATAAATTTTTAATTTTTATATATTTTAGAAAATTTTCAAAACTTTTTTGAATTTTCTTGGATTTTGTATTATACTTTAAGAATTTTTATTTTTAAAAATTTTCAGAACTTTCTATGAATTTTTTGTATTTTTATTAAAATTTTCAAAAAATTTTTTTAATTTTCCATAAAATTTTTAATTTTTACAAAAATTTAAAAAATTTTAGAATTATTTTTCAAAAACTTCACTTTTTTTTGGAAAAGTTAGATTTTTTCAATTTTTAGATTTTGTTTAAGTTTTATTGCATTTTTTAAAAAATTTTAAGAAAATTTCATTTTAATTAGATTTTTCAATTTTAGAATTATTCAAATTTTTTTGAATTTTTTGGATTTTTATTATATTGTTAAGATTTTTCATTTTTAATAATATTTCATATTTTTTTAATCTTTTATAATTTTTAAAATATTTCATTTTAAAAAAATTTTGAATTTTTAAAAAATATTCTTGTAACGTTGATGTGTTAATTGATGATATGACACTGACTGAACTTTGACACATGTTAGTAAATTATTGGATATTTATGCCACGTTAGCAAGTTAACTAATAGTGTTAGTCTGGGATATTATAATGAATTATAGAATGAAAGTTGGATTACAAAATTAGTAACTTTATCTTTTTAGGTACAAAATTAAAAGAAAATGTATGGTATATGGGGCAAATGAGTATTTAAATCTATAAAAACACATAAATTGTGGTGAATCAAACTCATTAGATATAGGTTTGTCATCCCTAAATTTATTAATTTTTTCTTTTACAAAATTATCTAATAAAGAAATTTTTTTTGAAAAATAAAAAAAAAAGTCAAATGAAATGAAATATGAATTTGTTAAATTAAGATATTAAATAATAGGGATACTATCCCATTTAACGCCTGAACTATTGTACTTTTTCTAATGTGGTTTCTAAGCAAAAAAATTTTCTACTCAAATACTTAAACTACATTTTTGTGTGTTAATTTATCCTAACCCTTAATATTATTAATACTAAATACTAACGTAACATAAATATTCAATAAGATGCTAACATATATAAAAAAAGTTCAGTTAGTAGTACCACATCATTAATACCATGTTAGTATTAAAAAAAATTTTTAAAAATTCTAAAATTTTTTGAAAAATCTAAAAAAAAATTAAAATTTTAAAAAATTCTAAACAATTTTTAAAAAACTTTTAAAAATTCAAAAATATTCCAAGAAATTTTAAAAATTATAAAAAATTAAGAAAAATTAAAAATTTTAAAAAAATCTCAAAATTTTAAAAAATTCAAAAATTTTAAAAAAATTAAAAAAATAAAGATTTAACAATATTTTAAATGAGAAATTAAAACTATTGTTAATGAAGCTAAATATCTCCTTTGGGATATGAGAGCCACGGCATTAATCACAATCAGCCAACAATTGCACATGTCTTTTTTTTCCATATTTTGTGGCACACATAGTTGAGGAATTATAACATTCTTTCAACATACACCTCTAGAAATCTTGGAAACTTTTTAAGGTTGACTTTTTCTCATTTTCATTTCTTCCAAATTGAATTTTAAAATAAGGTAATGTCTCCAATGCATTAGAGTTCAATCCACAGATTAAACTACTAGAACTGTCAATTGGGAGAAACTACAAAGAGAGTTGACTAAAGAGGAAGACATAAAAATTTGAAAAGCTCTCAACATTCAAAAATCCCATCGCCCTTCCTAGCATCATCACCAAAAACCCTTAGCCAATCTTGACACCCATGGCTAAGACGCTACCTGTCACTAACCTCTATTGATCAATATCATTGCAAGCCACCACCATTCGGCTCCCCACACCACCAATACCCACTAACTAAACCCAAATTATCCATTTCCTTTACCACCACAACAAAACACAGCCCTATCTTGCCACACAAAAAACATAAAAAAATCAAACACATCCTTTAGAATGGGGATAAACAGTTTTTTTAAAAAAAAAAACTAGTAGAAGTAAAACTTAAGAAAAGAAAAAAAAATACAGTAAAAGAGGGAGCCATGAGTCTCGGTTCAAGGCTTTTCTAAGGGCGTTGGCTTGGTTTTTTTTTTTTTTTTTTTTTTTTTGGTGAGGATGGAGGTTAGGGCTAGGTAAAGAATATACTTTAAAGAAATAGCATTTGGAATGGTGGTGGCCAGCTCAAATCTAGGGAAATCTATGATATTTTTGCAAAATCCAACTTGAAAACAAGAACAAGGAGGAAAAAGAAAGTTTTTTGGTGAAGTATGAGGGCAAACCAATGCCAACAAATAGCAGTAGCTTGCGGCAGGCAATGGAGGTGGCAATGGTTGGCATAGGAAATTGGATTGAAAAAAGATCGGTTGTTTGTTGTTTGAAAGAGAAAGAATTTTTTTTGTGGAATGAGGGAGAAATGAAATAAAAAAAAAATGTTTGGCTTTTATATGTTTTGAATCTTTTTAGAATCTTTGTAAATTTTTTTATAATTTTTTAAATTTTTATATAATTTTTCAAACTATTTTAAAAATTTTAGAAACTTTTTTTTATGTTGGCATGTCATTAATAATGTGACGTTAACTTGATTTTTTGACACATTTCACATTTTATTGGATGTTTATATGATGTAAGCATTTAGAATTAATGATATTAACGATTGAAGCAAATTAACAAATGGAAATGTAGTTTAAATATCTTATTAGAAATTTTGTTTGTTTAGTATCACATTAGAAAAAAGTGTAATAGTTCATGGCCAAATGGGACATTATTTCTAAATAATATTTTTTTAATAAAATAAATATATAAATATAAAATTAAATAAATAATAAAATATATTTTTTGTATATACCAAGGTCGAGACATAACATCAAAAGCCTTATTCTTACTCGAATTTATTAAAAAAAACTAAGCCTAATTGTTCAAATTAAAAGAAATTGCTCCAATTGGATCGGAACAATCGAAGCTTATCGGCTATGAATGATTTTGTTATCTCTATCTCAATTAACTATTTTATTATAAAATTTATCTAACAAAATTAAGAAAATAAAAAAATGAAAAAAGTAAAAGCTTTAAAAAAAATAGTAAGAGGGAGTTGTCATGTAGACAATTGAGACGGAGTAAAATATTTTAAATCTATCTCCAATCCAATTCTATTTTCAAGTTCTCAATTTTTTTAAAAAATAAACCTATATTATATAAGTGCGAATCAAAATCAATTTGATATTGCTTATTTTATCATTTTTATTTTTATTGATTTTTTTTTACAAAATTTGTTTAATAAAAAATCAAATAAAAATTTTTTAAAAAATAAAAATAAAAATAAATCTAATAAAAAAAAATAAAGAATGAAGGGAGAGGTCTCCGTCCGCATTCTATACAAAATTAAGCATATAGACGTAACGCAAGTGCAGCAATGTTGGAAAGGCTATACGAGTTTTTGGAACGTTTCTCAAGGAAGGGTTATCGTGTTGGAACGCCTTGGTCTTAGGCCTAGCTACCAGTAGCTGTGAACAAGAAGGAATTCATTTGTTTTCTAAGCTAGAGTCTTTTGAGTCTCCAACCAGACTATGTCAGTTTCATTGGTGTCCTAATGGCTTGTAATCATGCAGGGATGGTGGATAAAGCAACAGACAGTTTTCTCATTGGTGACAGAAAAATACAAAATCAAACTAGCCATTAAGCACGATAGTTGCAGGTGCTGGGGTCCTTGAAGTGGCAGAACAGCTAATAAAATGTATGCCCATTAATGAAGATGCCATTATATGGGGATCTTTGCTCTCAGCTTGCAGGAAGCATGGAAATGTTGGACTTGATCCAGCTGAAAGCTCTGAATTTGTACTTAATACTTATGGCTAATGTTGATGCTGCGACCAGGCAATTTGAGGAAGCAATCAAGCAAAAGGTTTTTAATCAAAGAGAAGCAATTAGAGAAAGAACCAGGGTGTAGTCTGACTGAAGTTGATGATGAAGTTCATGAGTTAGTTTCAGGTGGACGCTGCACCTAGATAACAATTTAAAACACGAGACAGAAAATAATATGAAAAAAGGCACGGATATTATATGAATTAAAATTTTAGAAAAATCATGAGTTGAACAAAAATAAAAAATTGAATTTCATGTTTTTTATTTCGCACGAATTAAGACATAATTCTCATATAAAACATACGAATACACAAAATGCCAATGTTTTATAACATATGAATTACCAAATATAGCTGCACCCTAAAAAAAAAAGGAGATATATTCTGTATTGATTATTGAATGAATTTAAACTCATATTTAAATATAAGGAATGAGCTAGAAACTTAGGATTAAGTCATACACTGTTGCCCGTTTTACTATGGATTACAAATTGTTGATTCCTATCATAAGTAGCTTTCTTTTGCAATTAATACATGGTTCCCAACTATTTGGTGATAAAAGAATAGCAATAATTTCATTTATTTGAGATGAAATCTTATGTCTATTGGTATTTAAGTGCACAGTAAGTTGGTAACTACTGATACTTCAGAAGATGGGTGGTGGAGATCAAATCTTTGCTTGGCTGATGAATGCTACAGAGAAAAAGAAGCACTAATTCCATGTGGATCAGAAACTGAAGCTGTGAAGATGGTACTGCTATGAGAAAAACTTAATAAATAATAACATTAAATGACGATATTTGGAGGATGTGAGAATCTCCAAAGAATTGCTGGCTAATCAGGTTAAGTTTTTTGACGTAGTTCGTACTGGTGCCAAGGAGTCTATCTCATTCTCAGGAGGCGTTGTGCCATCGGTGATCAAGTTCTGCGGCATTCCATAAAAATCAGAAATGTCGGGGTGATGATTCCTACCGTTCTGGTGATATTGATTCTGCATATCTGCTGCTATTTCATCATCATCCAATGGTAGACGATCAAAGGTAACATTTATGAAGGATGCAGCCATGATGAGAACAGGACCGGAAGCAATGAGTGGACCAACTAATCCTCCACCCACAACCTGTCCCTGAGCCCCAACGAGGTAAATGATTAGCCCGGTAATCCCAGGTGGGGCTGGAGGGGGCAGGATTGATCCAAGCAAGGAGAGAATCTCATACCGGCCACGTTGAGTAACAATTGCACCAGATGAAGCTGGTTGTCTGAGTGTAACATTGGCTACACGCCCGCTCCCACTAAGTACGCAAATACCGCGCTGCTTTCTCCTTGCAAAATTAACTATACTCTCGAGCACATCGCAGCCTGAGCTCACCTCCATTGCATGGGCTCTTATTGCATTAGCACCGTCACGAGTGACGATAATGGGTGGTTTTGGTTTGCTTTTGGAGCTTGTAGGCCTCCCTCGAGGCCGCCTAATATTCTCTCTCTCAGCAGCAGACACAGGTGTCACTGCCTTGGGCATTTTTGGAGCCATTAGCATTTCATCAATGCCTGGTCTATGGAGACTCCCCTCGTCTTGTTCTTGGTTATGATTCATGGGTACTCTCAAGTCTGTGCCTTGCCCTATTCATGCACACTCAGAACTGCTGATACTGCGGTCTGCATGTCAGTTCAAGTAGTTGGTTTCAATGGATTTTATTGTAAGAACACGAAAGAATGATTGAAGGTTAGGAGTTGGTTTAAGTGATAGTTCCATGTATTCTAACTGCCTACCTCCAACTAACCCTTCAATCATGTTAATTGCCTTTCCCAACAAATATCCGCATCATAATTTCTGCAATAAAAGACATTGGAGATAAAAGGGAACATAAGAAAAGATAACAAATGTATCCAGTTAAATAAATAACTAATCCATGAGTTGCGTATGAATCGCCCCATCAAAAAAAGAAGAAAAAATCATAGCAATCATACCCCAACATAAAATTAGATAGAATACAATGTTGAGGCGGAGGCAATTGCCAGTCAACTTCCCTTGTTTACGTATGTACAATTGGAAATTGCCAAAGCACTCAAAAAAAAAAAAAAAAGCACTGAAATCTTTGATTGAACTGTAATACCTTGCTGGGAAGGCAAAACAAAATATTTTAATTAGCTATGCTGCCAAATTTGAAGTTGTTGTTTAGATGATGGGCCTTTAGAACCATTTTAAATCATGTCTCCAAGATTTTACTGCTGCTGCTGCTGTTCTATAGGGATCCCTGCTTGAGAATTGTAAATACCAGGACATCCCAAAGCTCCATGAAGCTGTGAGTGTTGCTGGCCCTGTTGATAACAATCAAGTTGATGATTATGTACTTGTAAAGTAATAAGCACTATCCAGAATAGTTGATATGGTATTTGAACCATGCCCTTAGCACATGTAGTAGGAGCCATTATTCTGGTAACACATAAATGATATAAAAGATGAGAAAGAAACAGTTTTGTGGTCCATGCTCTAGAGTCTAAACATTACAGCACATGCATCATCTAGTCAAATATGCTTATTATTATTACCTGTTGAAGTCGGTTCAAATTAGCTCCTCCATTCCAGTACTGAGCGTGTAAAAAGTCATAATAACCAACTTTGCTGCCTGCTGGACCTGCAGATAGATTGTGCAGAAAATCTCCACAAATATCAGCAGAATTCCCTTAACTTTGATAACCCGTGTAAGAACCCGATAAAGGCAGGCTTCTCATGCTAGCACTTCTGTAGTGTGGGACACTCTACTTTATCCCTGTATGAGATTCATGGAACACATTTTCATCTGGATATGCTTGTTGCAAAGCAGATGGTGTATATGTATGGCCTTGAGGTAAAGCGGGGTAGCCAATTTGAGAATAAGAATGTGCAGACAAATGCTCCCTAAGAATTGGTCCAGTGGCAAGGTTGGCACCAAGAAGGGCCTGTGAGGCTGCGTGGGATACAGAAAAGGCTCCAGAATTTAAAACCTGAATTAACAGACCAATTAAAATAAAATAATTTAATTACTTAAGTCCATTTAAGTAGCAAAGGGCACCAAAATCTTAGTTTAACAGAATTGCAATACCAGATTCACCACACATTTGACATAACGAAATAATTTAAATGCATGTTGGCTGTCTGCTAATGAAAAAAGACAGCCTCTAATTCATCTGAAACTTGACACCAATTTACATGAAAAGACCCACTAAATAATGCAAAAGAATAATGTGGTTTATAAGTGGTCAAAATATCTTTCATTTGTAAGATTTAAGTCCATACCTGTCCCTACCACATCTTAGAAAATCAACCCAACAGAGTAAAATCTAGGGTGGGAATATTCCAACATTGTATGGCCAGCAGTCATAGTACCCAGATTTAGTACTCTCCCCAAATAAAAGATAAAAAACTTTCATCTACCCACTTAAAATAGCATCAAAACGGTAAAAAGTCTAGGACAAACCTTTTCCATAATATTGAAAGGCTGTCTTCCAAACTTGCGGTTCAAAAGAGGGGTGTCCTGATTCAACCAATTATTATTGACATGAAAATAGTCTCTGCCAAAATGAATTTTACCTAACTCGATAATTTTTTGAGGCACCCAGGAGAATACATCCTTGATTTCAAACCTCAGACATGGATGCAGCTGGGTTCTTAATTGATGATGCAGAACTGCTGTATCTTGATGAAATTGACTGTGACAAAAGAAATGTGGCAGAATCTCTGGCTTTTATAGACTGAACAGTTGCTGCCAATAAATCACTAGGTATAGAGTTCAAATATGATTGCTAGCACCCAAAAGTCACAAGATCAGTGCAAAGTTCGAGAGAAACTGAAATCAGAAATAAATCAACTGACTTCACAAGCATAAGCACCATATCAGATGAATGAATTAGGCATTAAAGAGAAAAGGACATGCTAAGCATTGGTGACGTAATCAACGTTAATTAAGAAGGTAGCCGATGAAAAGAATTATTAGGTATTACATACACGTAATAAAAGCCTATAAACATTTTAATGCAAGAAAGAGAATAGCTCTCAAGCTTGCATTTTTATGAAATGTTTCTAATGTTATTATCTATAACAGCAAGCACTACCAAAAAATTCCACATTCTTTTTTCATAAAAGCCCAGAAACGTCATAGAAGCAAATGAGACAAGAGAGTTAAAAAACTGTTTACCACTTCACTTTGCAAAGGAGGAAGATTCCTACCATTTGAATCAACCACAAAAGACAAAGCCTAACGTGATTGTTGGATATTCTTGAAACTAGAACCAGGTATAGACAAATGGGAGACATAATCATTCCCAGATGAATCAAGAATATCTATTTTCCTCAGCTCTACCTGCAAAAATTTGGGAGGATTGTAGTTCCTAGAACCTGCAGTTGCTCTATGAGTATCAAAATCAAACTCATGCTGCTCTACATTATGATATACTAAGTCCCTGCAGAGAAAGACATCCAAATATCACAAACTACCAGGAACAAGGAAGCCAAAACTGGAACTAGTCAAAGAGATGCATAGAGTTGTCAAGGTCTCTTCCAAGTCATTTCTCAAGGAAATGGAAGCTTGTAGCAGGGACAATGCTGTACTCTTGCCAGATTTATATGTACCAAAGCTCAAATGAAAGCAATCAGCAGAACAGGCTTGCAAATGATTTGGAAGCACCACCCCAAGGTTATCTTCTGTAGGAGTCGCTGCTCGCTCCTCCCCTCAACTTAGTTGTTGTAAGTTCACCGTAGCTGATGATAGAGCTATGATGGCATCATCAAACAAAGATACAGTAGGATTTGAAACAGATATATCAGAACCTCTACCAATTCCTGAGATTGGATGCCAGAGGGTGAAAAGCAAGACCAAAAAAAAGAAAAAATTCAACATTAACTTCTTGCTGCTTTGCACGACTAAAATAAACATGGTATAATGAATCACCCATAAGCATTTAGCTATTCTAGAATGCACAGAATCTAAATCCATGAACCAACCATCTAGCATACACTTGGAAACTACAAAAGAATAGATAGATGAAGAGAGAATCAATAATGCAGGTAGTAAGTGTTGCACGGGAATTTCACTAACTGCAGCAACTTTCGAATGAAATTATATTTAAAGGCTACAGCTACATATAGTAGAGCTATTTTTCCCACGGGCACTTCTCATTCAACCAACTACATAACACGCCCAACGAATTACAGAATAAACAAGTCCGTAATGTTCTACCATCAATAACAGTTTTTGGTCTCTGCATATAAGACACAAAGAATACTAGGAACCTTTTTTCTATCTCTTTCCAATCCTTTTTCTGTACTTTCAAAAAAAAGGACAGATGACAATAGAAAACAGAAAAACAGCTCCATGTTGCATTGTTTTCTTCTAGAAAGGACCAAGCAACAATGTAACTTAACAACCTAGCACTTTCTTTGTTCTATATCTATCACAAGCTAATGCATACTACATATGGTTATACAAGCTACGGACTATAATGTTATTTTATAGCATAAAGCATATAACTAGACAGAATCACTTTTTGGTCAGAGCTGAAATTTCTTGTTTTTAATCAGAAAGAACTACGTTCAATATTTTCCAAAAAAGATGTTAATAATACCACCAATGTTCTATTAGACAGCAAAATTTTTAAATTGACCTACAGAACATTCTAAAAATGGAGAATAAATGATAGAATACATAATAACTGTTGCAATACAAAGCAAAAGAAATTCTGTAAAGAGATCCAAGTTCTTCACTCTAAGTAGACTACAAATGACATTCCAGATAGCTATAATCATCAAAGTAGGAACACTGCATCAGCAGAATCCATGATTATTTTATAGCATCCCATGCACTTTATATTACAAAAGTATGTCTTTAGTTTAATTAAAAATCAAATAAAGAAAATGGAAAATTCCATAAAGTCAAACTCAGAATCTGAAAATTTACCTTCCTGGGGTTCATAGATTTGCAGATAAGAATCAAGACAACTTGTATCCTTACAAAGGTCATCATCATGTTCAGATGTTCCTCCCGAATCATTCACAAATATTTGTTTATTAAAAGCTTGATCAGATCTGACATGAACAGAACTAAGATTCTCTGTGGCAGCTTTGCTCTCTGATGCTAGAATATTGTCTGGCCAGCGGTTACTTGACAGGTTAGCTCAGTTACTATGTAAGTACGATTGATTTGAGTACATAGCAGCATCAATATCACTAGAAGCTGTTACTGGGTCATTCACAAGGCATTCATTTTCAACATGCTGACTAGATTTCTCTCCAGATTCACAAGTCATGTTCAAATTTGAAGAATGCAAATCTTGGTGTATTCCAACTTGTGAAGGTGAAGTAGTAAGTGAAGGTTTCATTTGGTAGATGGCCGAGTTTGGTGGAACAGTATCTTGAGGGGTGTAAGATGTTTCACATGGCATTTGTGAACCTTTGCTCTGTGGTCTACCCATTCTTACAATATCAGCCATTATAACATGTGTGGAAACTGAATGTATATTGAAAAACTGCTTATTCGAATTATACAAGAATCTTAGGTTTATATACAACTAACTAGGGGTTAAACTAGGAAACTAAATCTTCCTTAATTCTAGGGATACAAATACTTAATTCTAGAGATACAAATATAAATATACAGATTACAAGATTACAACCAGCTGTAAATAAGTGTTTTCCCACACTCCCCCTCAAGCTGGTGAATAGGTGTTTTCCATTCCCAGCTTGGAAATAATTCCTTGAAATGTTGCACTGCTGAGACCTTTAGTCAACACATCTGCAAGTTGACCCTTGGTTGATACATAAGGTGTACAAATCAACCCACTGTCTAGTTTCTCCTTTATGAAATGCCGGTCTACTTCAATGTGTTTTGTTCTGTCATGTTGTACAGGATTGTGAGCAATGCTTATTGCAGACTTGTTATCACAGTAGAGTCTCATTGGTCCATCCCACTTGATCTTCAAGTCTTCTAAGATAATCTTTAACCATAGTAGTTCACAAATCCCTTGAGCCATTGCTCTGAACTCTGCTTCAGCACTTGATCTTGCCACCACATTCTGTTTTTTACTCCTCCAAGTCACAAGATTACCACCTAAGAAAGTACAATAGCCTGAGGTGGATCTTCTATCAGTTACTGAACCTGCATAATCAGCATCTGTATATGCTTCTAGAACTAACCCCGAATTTCTTTTGAATAAGATACCTCTCCCAGGATTGGCCTTCAAATAGTGCAATAT